TGAGTTCAAGGCCAAATTGGAAACAGCCAGGCATGGTGACTCATGCCTTTAATCCCAGGAAGCAAGCCTTTAATCCTAGGGAGTGATGGTAGAAAGCAGAAAGGTATATAAGGCATGAGGACCAGAAACTAGAAGCATTTGGCTGGTTAAGCATTTGGCTGGTTAAGCATGTGGCTGGTTAAGCTTTTGGCTGTTTAAACATTCGGGTGGTTAAGCTTCAGGCTTTTGAGCAGCAGTTCAGCTGAGAGCCATTGGGATGAGGACACAGAAGAATCCAGTATGAGGAAACAGGACCAGCTGAGGAACAGGTGAGGTGAGATAGCTGTGGCTTGTTCTGTGTCTCTGATCTACCAGCATTGACCCCAATAACTCACCTCAGGTTTCATTTTATTAATAAGAACTGTTAAGATTCTTGCTACAGAGACATATGTACACACTAAAAATATATGCTCATATATACAGTTACTCACAAACACGAGAGAGACATTCATACAAAGTAGCACACCTATACACACACATACAAAGGCACAGAAATGCATTTAGACCCATAAAGACACAAACACATACACAGAAACAAACACAAAGACATAAAGACAATCAGACACAAATGTACTCACACACACAGGTACACAAGTAGGTATTGAAGTGAATCTCAGCACTATTTTGTGTGATATTACTTTCAGATAATCAAGAGGGTTAAGGTCCACAGAGCTTACGGTGGTATCCGAATCAGGTGAGTACACTTATGTAAATCATCTCTTATAGTGACCATCACATATATGACAAATATTGGTTTCAGCAAGTAAAAGACTCTTAAAGAATATAGCATTGATGACACAAAGTTCCATCCACTGGATATAGTTAGTACCTGTGAGCAGTCAGAATCCAGAGCTCTCACAGTGTTGATTGGCTGGTTTTCTTCTTGTTGAAGAAGCATTTCATGGAGCGCATGGGCCATAGCATACACAGCATTGTATATATCATAACCACCATCACTAAAGGCCATATCAAAACTCTGTAGCATTAACCATTCCAGTGAGACGTTCAATGAGCAGTTCTCCAGTGTCTTACAGTTAGATGTGGAGGCTTCACAGCTAAAGTACATCCACCCCAGTCGGGCCAGGAACATGTCTGTGTATTTGGAATGGTTCAATGTCTGAACAAAATTTTTAAGACCAGAAATCTCAGCATGGTGGTGTGCAAAAGCAAAAGTCCCATGGAATGAATCAACTGTGAAGTCTCTCTTACTTGTAATGACATCCCACTGTGAGGTGGTAACCCATATTCTCTGTATACCACGTGATACCCACATTCTAAAGCACACAGCTAGAGTACTGTCTGTGTCACCATAAATGATAACAACATTTGTGGATGATGTCTCAATTTGGTTGTTATACACTTCAGCTCTTGACATGTATAACTCCATGTTGACTGGGATCATGATCACAAAGGCTAAGCAGACTCTTTGGACTTCAGTTTCTCCTCTCAGATCTGAGAGAAATTGGAGACCCTGGTCATCATCTGAGATGGCCAGCCCAACCCAGTTCCAGTTGAAGTGAATCATCAAAGAGACTATGGCCAGGGCCAGAGCTGTGTCCTTGGGGGCCATCTGATACAGACTGGGGAACTGTTCACGATCACTCAGGATAGGATGGAAAGGTCCATAGGTGAGCTGAAGGACATAAAACAGAGCAGCATGAGGCAGAGGATTGTCAGAAATCTCAATGAGAGCCCTGAGGTGTGTGAAGCACCAGTTTGAAATGACAGGAAGACAATTTTTCCCTATTACTACAGTTATACTACATGGTTAGATACTTGCAGAAAATCACCTTTCTACAATTTGTTAAAGGAAATTCCCCTTGACTGCTAATTCTTCTCATCTACATATCAAATGATGAATTGGGAATGTACCATTGAGTGAATGATTAATTATACTTGAACTTGATTTATATTAATATGAAGCCAATCTTCCCCTCAGGTTAAGCCAAATAATGAGAAAGATTCCATACTTTCCCACCCAAACAACCTCACCTGTGGATATTTATAGAGCTCAAAGAGTTGTGCCAGGCTCATGGATGGTGCTAACATTGGTCCTGTAATCATTACACGACATTTGGTCTTATGTTTACAGCTGTAGTTAAGGGGAAGTCTATGCCTTTTTGCAGCATTGTATATGAAATTTTGAAATGCTTGTTTGTCATGATAATTGTCAGTGAACAAGTAAAATATGAGAGACACATTTGGTAGAAGATATAGATTCCTATTGATTTCTTCCACAGCAAAAGCCAAAGGCAGAGCAAACTGGTAGTTTCGAGTTTGTATTCTGAAAATAATGGCACAGGGTTTAGTATGGATAAGGCTCTATAGGTGAATGCTTTGTAGTTAATAGAAGGACTATCATGCATTCAATATCATTTTCAGATATAGCTTGACTATTTACTCTGTGTTGTAAGGTTGGAAAAACAAGAGATGTTTGAGAGCTTAAAAAAACCCTAAAAATTGATCAGAGTGGATGTCACAAAACTAAGAAATGTGTTCTTGTTCACTTTGACAGAGATTTTCTCCTTGGCTATTTGAGGACTGGATGCACATTTGATAAATGATATGTGTGTGTATCTGTAGGAACCTTGAGAATTCAGTTTTCTTGGGGGCCAGAAGAGGAGGCTGGATTCTGCAGAGCTGGAATTTTAAGTGGTTTTGAGGTGCCTGCCAACATGGGTGGTTGAAATTGAACTCAGATCCTTTGACAGAACAGCAAGTGCTCTTAACTGATGACTCGTGTCTACAGCTCCAATTTATTACTACTTTCTATAATCTAGATATTCTTCAGTCTAGTACAGCCAGTAGATATTTTTCCTTTTGTGTGGGCTGCGTCTTAACATGCTCATAACATTGTTGAATGCAAACAAAATTAGTTTTATGCAATCACACTTGTTAAAATGTGGACTTATTTCCTGAGTTATTCTATATATTTAGATGTTTTCTCCATGTTTTCTTTATCAGACTCATGCTTTCTGGACTTACACAACAGTCTTTGATCCATTTGGACTTGATTTTGGAACAGGACAATGGTTGGGAGATACTTTTTTTTTGTCTTTTTTTTTTTTTTAACAGAGCTGAGGACCGAACCCAGGGCCTCGCGCTTGCTAGGCAAGCGCTCTACCACTGAGCTAAATCCCCAACCCCAGGAGATACTTTTTTTCAACCTCTGGTTGGCAGGTTTTCCACTAGTATTTCTTGAGCCGGCTGTCTCTTCTCCATTTTAAATATGGGGAGATTGCCTACTATTAAATTGAATATTTTCCTTGGCTGTATTTTGATAATGTTTTTCTCTTCTCCCAATTTCTTCTGGGTTCTCCCCAGCTATATATTGTTTTTCTCTTTAAAAACAAAACCAAAAAGAGGAGAAAAAGGCAAAGAGAACACCACAAAAGGGATTGGGGATTTAGCTTAGTGGCAGAAAACTTGCCTAGCAAGTGCAAAGTCCTGGGTTTGGATCTCAGCTCTGAAAAAAAAAAGCCATAAAAATGAAAATTAAAATAAACATAAAAAACTAAATAGACATCTGTCTCCATGGGTTGCTGGGTGAAGCGTCTCTTATGACAATTGCTCTAGATATCAATTTATGAGTATAGCAGAATATCATTAATAACCCTTCCATTGAACTTTTTTCCATTTTGTTTGTTTCTATTCCAGGTCTCTGGGATATGCTGATTCTCAGTCCTTGTCCTCAAGGGGGATTTCCTCTCATGAAATGGGTCTACTAGCTGTGCCAGTCATCTGTTGGTCACTCTTGCAATTTCTATACCATCTTTACTCCAACATATCTTGTAGGCCAAACAAATTGTAGCAGCCAAACATTGGGCAGAGCATGGGAAATACTGAAGAAGAAAGAAAGGAAGGATTTCAGGGTCCAGTAGTGTCAAGAAAACCCACAGAATCAACTAACCTGGGCTCAGAAGGGCTCACAGAGACTGAAACGACAACCAGGGAACCTACATAGGACTAACATAGACTTTCTGCCTATTTGGTACAATTTGTAACTTGGTCTTCGTGTAGGACTCCTAGCAGTGAGAGCAGGGGGATGTCTCTGACTCTGTTGCCTGCTTTTGGGACTCATTCCTCCTGCTGGATTCCCTGATCCAAGCTTGGTGGAGAGAGGGTGCCTGCTCTCACTGCAGCTTGATATACCAAGGCTCACTGATATCTATCTATGGGATTCCTGTCTGTATCTAAAAAATAACAGTGAAGGAGGATTTGATGTGGTGGAGGGGGAGAACAATGTTGTAGGGGACCTAGGAAGAGGGAAGGGAAGATAAGCTTTGGGTAGAATGTAAAATCAAGAAAATAAATAAATAAAAATATAATAATAAATATGATAAAATGAAAAGAAACAAATACACAAAGAAGACCAAGGGAAGCAAAATAAGAAAAATAATCTATGAAAATATCTTTCTGTCTATTTTGTGTTGTTGAACCACTCTTGTGCATGGGACTTGTCCTGACGTGTTTCTAATAATATACTCAGTGAGACTCCACTGGAGGAAACTTCTTTTCCTTTTCAAAGCAGGTATCTATTTCACATAGCTTCTTCTTTAGGGGTGAAAATTGGTGTTCACTTGCCCCTCTCAATTATGAGACACCTGTATACAGCATTTGAACCTCAACAAGCCTTGGGCATGCTCACACAGTCTGGGTGAGCTTATATATGTCTCAGTGCCATTGTGTCAGGAAAACACTGCTTCCTTGGAGTTATCCACATCCTTTGACTCATAATTCTGTCAGTCTCCTCTTCTGCATCGATCTCTGAGCCTTGAGTTGAAGGAATTGATGAGACAACTCACTGAAGACAATGTGGTCAAAAGTTCCACACTCTTTGCACACTGTTCCATTGTTGATTTCTGTGTTAGTTCCCATTGACTACAAGAAGCATTTTCTCTGATGAGAGCTGAGTGATGCACTGATCAATGAGTATAGCAGAATATCATTAGGATTCAATTTATTTCTGTGTTCTTTAAACAGAAAATTAGTACTAGATTTCCCCCTATGTCTTTCACATATATACTCTGAGGTTCTGGGAATCTTTATGCATGTCAGGTCGAGTTCCATTTCATGGAGTGGACTTTAAATCCAGCCAGACATTGGTTGGTTAAACCCCTAGTATTTATGCCATTATTGTATTTATGTACCATGCAGGCAGGTCATCACTGTAGATCACAAAGTCTGTAGCTGGATTGGTGGTTTCAATGTTCCTCTGGTAGAATGCAGAATACTTTCCAGTACCATGAATGCAAGTCTGTGAGGGTGAAGGCTTTAGAGAGCACTATCTTGACTTCTCCATGTTCAGTAAAATAATAAGTGGTGTCTTCTGCAATAAAGCCTTAACAGAAACTTGTGTAGAGTAACCCATAGCCTTGGGAATAGCCAATGATGTTTGGTAGTTTCCATGGATCCCCTTTGGCCAATGACTCAACAAGATATGTAACCTGTTCCTGGCATTAGATAAATATTTGGTGCAGAAAATGTCTAGCTGGGGCACTGTTCCCCCCTTTATTTGGTGATTCCATTCAGACTTCCTTTACACATGTAAATACTTTAGGAACCTTCCAAGTAGCAGGTTTCCAGATAGTTTTCAACTGGCCTCGAGTATGAGTTGCCCTTCTAAACACACCCACAATTATCACTCTCTGCCATTACCTCCCTATTTAATCTTCTAATTCTAGTTTGTCCTGTATCCCTGCATAACAGTATGTTTCATTTTCCCTTCCATGCTAGATCCTCTCTACCCTGGTCCCTTACTACATACTTAACTTCTGTGGTTATTCAGATGGTAGAATGCATATCAAAGTTTTAAAAGCTAAGAGTCACATGTAAAAGAAAACATACATTTGTCTTTTTTGGGAGGAGGGTGGTGCTTTGGTATATTCCTCAAGATGATTTTCACTAGTTCCAATATTTGCTTGTGGATATCAAGAATTACTTAAATAAAGTTTATTTATTATTTTATATCCTGACCACAGTTTCCCCTCCCTCCTCTCATCCAAGCCTTTCCCCCCACCTCACCTCTTCCCCACCCCCATCCATTCCTCCTACTTTTCTATTCAGAAAGGGTCAGGCCTCCAATGGTTATCAAAAAATTATGCCATATCAAGTATCAGGAAGACTAAGCACCTCCCCTTGTATTAAGGCAGCCCAGGATAAGGAGTAGGGTCCCAACGCCAGCAAAAGTATCAGAGATAGCCCCTGTTCCCACTGTTAGGAGTCCCACAAGAAGACAAAGCTACACAACTGTCACACATATGCAGAACACCTAGGTCACTACCATGCAGGCTCCCTGTTGTTGGTTCAGTCTCTGTGAGCTCCCATGATCACAGGTTAGATGTTTCTGTGGGTTTTCTTGTGATGTCCTTGATGGCTCTGGCTCCTACGGTCCTTGCCCTCTCTCTCTCTCCAGCAGGATTTCCCAAACACAGAACAGTGTCTGACTGTGGGCTTCTGGCATTGTTCAGGAATTACTTTTTTTAAAAAAATTTATTACAACTGAAAAAAAACCCACATTGTTCAAATGTGCTATGATTTCATTATCCATTCCTCAGTTGTTGAGGTTCTAGGATGCTTACAATTTCCAACAATTATAAATAGAACAAGAATGAAAATGATGAACAAGTATCTGTGTAGCAAGATGCAGAATACTTTGAGTATGTGCCCAAGAATTATATCATTGGATCTTGAAGGAGATAGATTCACAACCTCATGAGGAATTGTCACACTGATTTCTATAGTGGCTGCACATGTTTTTACCCCCACAAGCAATCAATAAGTGTTCCCCACTCCCGGAATCTCCTGTCATTTGTATTAGTGGTCTTGGACATTCTGATTGATGTAAGAGAAATTTTCAAAGTAGTATTTATTTGCATTTCTGTGATGGCTAAGAATGATTTCTTTAAGTATTGTTCAGACATTTGTGTTTAATATTCTGAGATCTTACTAATTAATACTTTACTCCATTTTTAGTTTGGCTATTATTTGCTTGATGTTCTTGTGCATTTGAGACACTAATCCTTAATGTTCAGTTTCCTACCTATATTTGTTGAGTAGACTGAATCTTCTACACTGGTTGTTGCAGAAACCTTTGTCAAAGCCCAGGTGACTATACCCATGGAATTGAATTATGGGTTCTCCATTTTGCTTTCTTGAAATATTTATATAATACTGAGTTAGCACTGTGATCCTCTGTTACTATTGCCCTAGGTTATAAATTGGACATATGTGTTGTGATACCTCCAGCATTATTTCCTTTCTTGACCTTTGCTTGGTCTAGCTGGAATCTGTTTTTTATGGGACTTTTTGGATTGTTTTTGCCTATGTTTTTTAGTTATGTTTCAATAGAATTTTGATGGAGATTCCATAGAATCTTAGATTATTTTGGTAATGTAACCGAGTATTAATGTACACATTGATTGTGCCAACCCATCAACATGTCAGATAGTTTCATCTTCACTGTCTTCTCTTTCTTTCCTCACTGTTACGAAATCTTCACCATGAACACCCTTGAGTTCCTTGGTTGCATTTATTCTCAGGTATATTATTGAGGGAAGTTATTGTAACTGTGGTTGCTTTCTTGACTTCTTTCTCAGTATCATCATTCCTTGTACACAAAAAATTGATATTTTATATCTTAATTGTGTATTCTCTTCTTTCCTGATGGTATACATTAGGTCTAAGACACAATCCCGGAGTGTTGACTACCTCACATACAAGTTCATACCATCTACTTGTGAAAAAATTTGACTTCTTTTCTTGATTCATTTCGTTCTTTTTTCTGGGCTTATTGCTTTAGCAGAATATGAGCAAGACTGACTTTTGTGATATATGAATGAGCATCCTTCGATGTTTTAAGGGAAGGTTCTCAGTTATCCTCCATTTGATGTAATGCTGGACATGAGTTTGTCCTGTGCTGCCTTCATCCCACTGAGACATTATCCTTCTACCCCTAATGTTCTAGGGATACTGTAGATTGTCAGATGCCTTTTCTGCATCTGTTGAGATGATCATGTCATGTCTGCCTTGTCTATTAAAGCTATCTGTGACAG